AAGTACCGGAACGCAGAAAAAAGTGGCGGAACCCAAAAGACGAAAATACAGAAGTTCCGGAACTGCGTTCCGCTGCGTTCCGCCCCACTTCAAGCACTGGTTATTTGACAAATGCTCCAAAGCAATTGAGAAAAACTGTAAAATGGCGTAGCTTTAGAGAAAGACGCCGAACTGTTTATCTGGTCATATGACAGTCTGGTGTTAGTTTCAATAAAACTGACTTACATCCGCGTAACATTAACAGCTGCTGCACCACGTTAGCTGAATTTCCCCTTTTGTCAACGTGATATGTACATACACATTTTTTACCTGAGTTATCCAATGTCCGTTGATACGGCATATTGCACAGTCTGTATGTCTACGTAGCGCTTCTCGTTTCTTAGAGTGATATAGGAGTGATATGTGTAGCCACTGAAATCACTGTTCATGCTGTTTCACGTTCCTCTTTCGTCATGTGACGCATGAGTTATAATCACGGCATGTGCGGTTTTTTTGGTTAAGCATGGTAACCCCATACACTATGGATCCCAGATGTCGAAAACATCTACAGGTACTTGCACCTAGTAGATAAAAATGGTATACTGTAATGTGAACTCTTGTCTAGGCAGTCAACAGAATTTATATTAATGGCTACACGTGAAAGCCCCACGTTATTGCAGGTGTTTTAGGTACAGTAAGTCAGAAGGGTGTGGTTTCCAAACATAAACAGGATGTTGTAGAAATCCTTACGCAGTCACACCAAGTTGCTTTTAAAGGCCATTATCACCGCCTGAAAGTAGTTAATAATTAAAGAAAAAGCTATTATAAAAAACCTAGCATAAGTACACAAAACGTCCAGAGAACGCGGGACTTCGCACCTGCAGATCGACTAACCTAACGCTGTTCTTCGTCCTTTAATTTGGAAAATTTGTTATTGAATTAATTTCTTTTCCAAACACACACGAAGTGAAAAATCTGACAGGTTTCCTATGCACTGTATGCAATCAGCCTTGCATCCGCTCCCATGCATGCTGTGTATCGGTTTGCCCGTATTGTGTTCGTGTTTCCAAGGTGCAACAGCAGGTCAGTTCTGCGCAACACGGTAACCATCTTAAATGGTTGGTTTCGAAATAAAAAGAGATTATTCGAACAGCTCTTAAAAGAAGGATATCAACGACGGGATGTCTATTCTTATTTTGAACTGTTAATGTGACTTGATATACAGAATTATGAAACTTTTAATTTCCCTGCTTGTCCTGTTTGCACAGAGGTAGTTCAGTAACTATACCCGGCAAAACGGACATTCTTCTACCCGTTAAATTGCATTAATACTCTCTTTCCCGACTCTTCCCCCCATCGTGTTGTAAGACATTCCCGTAGCGTATAATGTTTTAATTGGCGTGTCTATAAAGGACAATCAATAGGCTTACATGTAACCAATACATAATCATTCGTATTATGTGTATCAAAAGTATATTCTCCATTTAAATATCCGTAAATTCTTAAAACTTACCTGTTGAACATCACAAATTATTCCGAGAGATAATACTGCTGCATCAGAAAAAAGGGTACACCCCCGGTACAAATTAACAACATTAATGTACCCCCTATGGTATGAAAATGTTCCTTCATTTCTGTACCTTAAATTACTATAAGGTACATTTACCTACAGCTAAGGGTACAACTGTAAAACCCTTGAGAGTACAGCCCTAGTAACAAGTAGCCAGATTGTACCTTCATAGGTACAAATTGGTACTTTGTTCTGACAATGTCAGAGCTACAGAGTTGGAATATGGTGTTATTTGTGTTAACAAATAAACTATAAAATATGCCAATAGAAAGTCTCTAGTTCCTCTATAAATAAGCTGCTGTTTCATAACACCGGGACGGATTTGCTTTGATTGTTCCTCTATGTCATTCTCTCTTAGTTCTTTGATATGAAAGGAAAGACGTATGTATTCACAACAGGTTTATCTCTAAAGAAAACTTATAGAATCTGGATATTTAAAAAGTCCCAGAGCTTATTGAGAATTTAGGGTTTTTTTCTGCTCCACATCTTTCTAAAGCGTAATTGACATCCAGAAAATCAACGCCGAAGCTTTCACTTACCGACCAGTGGCTCCCGGCTGCAGCCATTCTGTTTGGCCTGGCTCTCCATTTCCATGTGGATGTTATCCGGGGGGATGTGTGAGGGAGACCTGCCGCAGGTCTTGTTTATAGAGCTGAGTGCTGCCCCATGGGGGTGTGGCATCATGCGGATGTTAGAGACGGACTCTGATAATGGACGTGAAATTGCTCCGGAGTAAAGGGGAGATCTCGGGGAAAAAATGCAAAAAAAGGGTGTCCTGGTTGTTCCCGCACCGAAGAACACTCTTTGTTACTCGTCCCCCGTCTTCCTTTTAGTGGATTTTGACGTTTAATTTGAATCTCTCTCTCTTATTCTGTTTTATCTACAACATTAGTTAATTCGTCGACGAATTTTCCTTACGGCTATAAATTTAAAAACCATTTGGTATTGTACTACTTTCACTGTAGAGTGAAAAGAGACTTACCCTCATGAAAATTGGGGCTGCTTATCAAAGCTTCACATACCATCCTTATATCTGTGTCACATTAGCGGATTTTTTTTGTGGTCTAGAATGTTTCCTGTTGATTAACATTTAACTACGGTAGAAATTCTTTAAAAGAATGACTAACACGCACTGGTCAGGACAGTGAACAAAGGCACGTGAGACAGGGAGGAGAGGATGGAAGGGGATCTTTGGGGTCTTCAGGTTTTAACAAACTGGGGAAGAAGACAAAGCTAAAATGCAACCATTCCTGTCCACGAAGAAGGGAAACGGGTTCATAGATGGGGTCACAAGATTTGGTTTTTGTTCTGGTCTGAGAGACAAATAATAACTCTGTTATGGTATTAGATATTAGCTAGATTGTGAATGATGGTGTCCTGTGATGGGTTGGTGTCCCTTCCTGGGATATTCCCTGCTTTGCGCCTGTTGTTACCAGGATGGACCCCAAACCCCTGCAATGTTGGATAGGACATGAATGAATGAATGAATGAATGAATGAAGGTGTTTTTCACGTGACGTCACCCAGTCCAGGACACCCTTGTCCGACATCATCGCCGTAAACATGTTCACTCTAACCATGACTGAAATACATTTAGTTGCTGGTTCCCTATATGTAGAACGGGATTAGAAAGGCTGACAGTATTTTAAAATAACACTTAACTGATGCAAATGGCTGTGAAGTGCCGAGCAAAATAGGCCTGATGAAACGATAAGCTTCCGGAAAAGTGACTCATGATGTTGCATAATCTCTGATTATCCCCTGAGATTTCTTTCCATAATATCCATTATCCACATGTTGAGGTGTTGGGACTGTGATTTTTCCATACCATTGTGGGGAAAGACCAGTAAACAATGTGGAGTACAAAAGCAACACCTATTCTGGGTGAATTTGTTTTAATTAAATGTATTGGTTGTATTTTGGCCAAACTCCAGTATATCTGGATATAGGAAATTTAGATTGAATTTATAAATGGTGGTAAGTTGCTCCATTGGTACGACTTTAAAAGGGTTTATAATTTGTTTATGATCAAGTTATTAATGAGGTCGTAACACTTTGTAAATCATTAATAGGCAATTAAAAACAAGTTATAACAGTTTTCCTTTTATTAATGAGTTATTACCATTCATTTCTGCCAAAAGGGACCCTTTTTGTAATGTGGTACTATTCTAAGTGTGGTATGCACCGTAATTGCACGCCCAGTGGTGGTTCTAGACGATTTCAGTAAAGGGGGGGCAGACGGGTCAGTTTTTCTTTTACCGGGGCCATTTGACCTTAATGTCCTCCAAGTATTACTTACACTAGATTGCCAACATTAAGAAACTAATGTTTCTTGTTCAGTGTGTCTTGCTTCTCTTGTTGTTTTTGCTTTTCACCAACTGAAGCGACTCGACCCCCACCCCCCCGCACCTGTGTTGAGTCCACCAAGAGAATGTGCTTACGTTTGCGTTTCGCCTGTTCAAAGTGCACAACATTTTAGCCGACATATATAAATGTAAATAATAATACACTTATTTCACACCCAAGTAGCGTAGGGGGCCACGGGGGGGCATGCATGTTGTCGGTGGTCATTGCCCCCCCCCCAGAACCACCCCTGCTGGAGAAACGGACCCTAAAAAATATGGAACATAATTTGATTGGTCAGAACTCGGGACCCAACATAATATTCTTTCATGGGGTCCAAAATCTCTAGTGTCTAGCTGTTTATTCTTATCAGAGACAAATTTAGGCGTCAAATCCCTCCACTTAACAAGCAAAGCTGATACAGAATGGGTTCAGGTGAGTTTTAACAGTAAACGGACCACGTACTGCGAGAAAACACTGCAAGAAAGCTTTAATTTATCAGACCATGAGGGTAAAATTCAATACAGTTACTGTGCCTTCACTGTAAAGTGTTACAAATTCTTTTAAAATCTAACCGTAAACCGTAAGTATATTTGTACAGCCATGTTCATTGTAAATTTCCAGTAAAAAACAGATACAGATCAAAGAGTCAAAGCACTGTACAGTACATTGTCATGTTGGAAATTAATGTAGCTGGAGGTTTAGTAAGAAAGGTGACTAACACCAGTTTCACCCAAGTCCCCAGACACGCAAACACAACCAAAATACTTTTAAAAAAAAAGACAAAAAAAAACATGACAATGATATGACGCCCTGTGTACAGCTGGCACGCAAGTCCAGCGAAGGTGTATTTATAGTGATGAAAGTAAAAAAAAAAAAAAAAAAACTTGTGAAAAATGACGCCACGTGGAACTAACAAAAACGTTAACCCCCCTCCAAAAGGGATGGTAGAGAGAGAATGCAAAACAAAACAAAAAAAATCTAGGTAAACCGTTTACGGTGAAACAAGTTCATATTCACGTTTTTTGGGAAAGCTACTTCTATTTTAAAATAATACTAAAATATAGTATTGCCCTGAAAATGTACTCACAGTATAGCCTATTCAGTTCTGTAACATTGCTAACATATCATGCCACTGCCACCACTCATTTCCTGTACATACATCACTGTATGTATCTGTGGTGTCAAACTTTAGTTCTTTTTTTTTTTTAAAAACTTCAACAGTACGACTTTCTTTAAATACCCGTTACTGTGTCCATTACATTACAATTATGTTTTCATCTTAATGGCAGTTAAAAAGGGCCAGTCGACTGAATAAATCAACAGCTCTTTCCTGTTGTTAAACGTAAATGCAGTACAAACAGTCTGATGATGTGAATAGCAGAATCTATACCAATCTATACCTCTTTCTCCTTCTCTTTCTCTCTCCACACACACACACACACACACACACACACACACACACACACACACACATACATAAAGAGTGTTCCTCTGGCAGGAGATCCTCAGATCAGTCCAAGGGGTCTGAAATCACAATCACTTATCTGTACCAGGAGCCTAACTGCCCAGATTTATTGCCACCCTAGCTGTGGATGGAGCCCTGGCTGGAGCGGGAAGGGGGTGCCTGGGGCAGGTGGGTAATTGGTGAAGCCGTTGGGCTGGGGTGGGAAGCTCTCCAGGGCAGATGCGGAGTGGGCCTGGAATGGGACAGAGGGATGCATGAGCGTCGCCGATGGCTAGCCGTACCCACGACGCCCCCTGCCGTGACAACACCATCGCCATACCTGCAGCAGGGCAGACTGCACGGCGGGATTGTGCAGCCCCGAGAGGGCCGCCGGGGAGGTGCTGGGGGAGAAGCCCGGCACAGCAGGGAAAGACAGTAACCCTGGGAAGGCCGCAGCGCCCCCTGGAGTCTGGAGGCCACCAGTCAACCTAGGCATGAACAAGCAAATAAAAAATCAACAGCTTTTGTTCAGGAAACTTCTCCGCTATATATAAAGCCCACATCTAAGAAAATAATAATCGTAAAAGACAAGAGTCATTTAACGACGCGAGTTCCCCACCAGTATCTTATCGAGATAAACACAGAGCAAAGGTTTCACTGAATCACCTGACCGCTAGTGAAAGACGTGGGAATGCAGAGGTTGAATGCCTTACTGCTGCCTATCAAATGAAAATGCCCTGTACTAATCTCAGGAAAGTGAGTAATATTACAAGACCACGGAAATGATTGCTCACAAGCAGCCTTTTTTTTTTTTGCTCACGCTGGCAATGTTATAAATTAATTAAATTTTTATCATGTGTAAAATTTTCCATGTTGTAAAGTAGCACCTGAAAGTCATTAAAGGCATGTGTATGTGTGTGTGTAGCTCTCACACTCACCCAGTAGGGGGCACTAGCGCAGGGTTAAAGTTGGAGCTGAAGGCCGAGGCAAATCGGGGCAGCACCGGGGTGGAAGATGGGACCCCGGCTACAGCGGCAGCTGGCAGGGGTGCCACCGTGGCCACGGACGAGACGGATCCAGGCAGCCCCATGAATGGAGAGAGCACGGGGCTACCGGCGGCCTGAGGGCCGGGGTTCCCAAACCCTGGGAAGCCAGGGTTGGGGCCTTGGAATATGGAGGGGGCCGTGGTGAGGCCCAGGCCGAAGGGGGCCGGGGTGGGAGCGGAGGAGTGAGGGAGGCCCACGTAGGCCGAAGTAGGAGATGCCGCTGCCGAGGCAGCGGGAGCAGAGGAGGAGGAAGAGGAGGAGGAAGAGGAAGGGGCTGAGCATGGCGGGGTGCCTGAGAACGGAGAGGAGGAGAACGGGCCTAGGCCGGGGAAGGCGGGCACTGCCAGGGAGTGTGGAGCAGGGCTGCCCGCTGACTGGGAGGCCAGGGCGGCCGTGAGGCCCTGCAGGCCCGCCATGGCCACCGGGCTGGGCAGGGAGGTCTGAGGGGAGCCGTCGGAGCGGCTCATGTTCAGCGAGCGCACCACGGCGGCCGAGTTGGGCATCAGCGAGCCGAGGGAGGGCGTGCCCGAGCGGGAGGGGCCCTTGAAGGCCGAGGGCACAGGGCTGTTGCTGCCGCTTCCGCCACCGCCGGCATGAGGGGGCAGGGCACTCAGATGCTGCTCGCCGTAGAAGGCGGTCGGATTAGCGGCCTGGGGAGCTACACCTGAGGGCTTGGGGCTGGGGGCAGCAGAGGCTGGACCGGGAGGCAAGGTTGAGAAAGCCGGCAGGCCAGGGGTGGAGCGGCCTGGGGTCGGGGGCTGGCTGGGGGTGGGGGTTCGTGCCGAGGGGGCGGAGGGCGTGTAACTGCGGATGACCGACTGGGCGGGGTTTGTGACTAGGGAGGGCAGCCCTGGGAAAGGGGAGCCTGGCTGGGCCTCGGTTGGGGGATAACCCTTATAAGGGGGTAATCCAACAGATCCCACTGGGGAGGGAGAGGGGTCAATAGAGCTCCTTGAGGTAGGGGTCGGCATGGACGACGGGGTTCCTGAGCGCGACATGCCCCCAAAGGGGGATGGGGAATAGCCTCCGCTGGGCACTGGTGTTCCACAAGGGGTGGCCGACGGTGTGTGGGACTTGATCACTGAGGGCGTCGGGGTGACAGAGGGGGAGATTCCCGGAAACGACTGGTGGACGGGGGTGGAGTGGCCACTGGGAGGGGAGGGCGTGATGTGGGCAGGGCCTGCAGAAAGGGGCGG